CTTTGGGTAATAGGTGTACTAGTATATAAAGAGTTAATGATAAATAGTGTTAGCTTGTACGTCAACAGAGCAACTGAAGAAGGTTAAAGTTTTTCAAATTGAAAACTTGCTTAGTAAGCTTGTAGTGACCCATTTTATTACTCATCATCGTAGTATACTTTCACTATGTAATTGGACTTTGATTTGTTTATCACTCTAAAGATTGCATGTTGACGATTGATACTTTTGTACTCGCTCAATTTTTTGAATTTTGATTACTGCGATAATACACGATCGTATTCCTTCGCAAGTGCCTTTTGAATTACGTTGTGGGTGTCGAGTAATCACAACGTTAGGACACAATTATATACGCGAAGAAGCACTAGGATGTACGTGTACGCTAGTTTGGTCAAAATAGGGCAACACGACAAGCTGAGCTCACTAGTGTGTATGACTAATCAGTGTATTGAATTTAATACGTTATCATTGTAATTCAGGTAGTTTGCAGCTGATGAGAACCTGTGAAATAGAATGACATCATTTTATACCGTAAATCTGGTCTTTCTTTCTCTATCGAAAACAGTTTAATTTATGTAATACCCTGTAATGACAGTCAGGACAAGTACAAAGGTCAAATTAGTAGAACGGGATCAGTTAGACTAGCGGAGCACAAAATCCGAGCAAAATCTAGATTAGTTGACCCGAATAATACAAGAAATCCGGAGAATTGTTAAGCTGTAGCGCTACATGCAGTTACACACAACCATACGACAGGATGGGATAAAACAACAGTACTAAAACTTAATATAACAGAATAGGAGACATTGATGACGGGAGCTTTATTTATGGAATCAACTGAAAATACGTGTAACATTACGTAATTCTTTATCTGAAATTTACAATTCTAATGACACACCTTTAGAAATATTCCTTTTGTTGCTAAGGTAATTTACTATATATTTGCGATAGTACGGCTTGAGAACGACATCGCCGAAAAGAGTAACTTTTCGCTGAATGCCTACCTTTTATATGACTCAATGTGGATTTGCAAGTTGCTTGAATTTAACTGTTTCACTCTCTGTACTTAAACGGGAAGTAGGCACATACCAGTCCACTAGCATAATCTTACTTTTGATAGAAAAGAGCCAGAGTGCACATACCCAGATTTTTAATGTGGGTGTCCAGAAGATCCTCCTCTTTCCAAGGCGCCTTCAACTAAAAGAGTTACATCATCTGCATACTCCGTAAATAGTCAGTTCCTGTGACAACAAAGTTACTTAAGGTCAAATCCACAAATGAATTTATAATTAAATTGAATAAGAAAATAGTGACATTGGAAACCATTGGATGATAATTTCCTCGAAAATAGTAGTGTTAACCGCTAAAATGAACGATTTAAACCGAGAAATACTATAAAGAATCAATTCAAATAATCAGCACTTCTATGAGGCTTACTGTCAGCTAGGTTTGCTGACAGAATATTGTAAAACAGTTTGAAACAAGATGTGACTATAAAACTGAGTTATATATTTGCCGAATATCAGTAATAGTGATGGTGAAGTGGGTGCAATTTTAGTTTCACAAAACTATTATAAAACCATTTACTGTATTATCTCACTGCTACTATAAGTAGTTGTGTTTCGTCTCTACCTCTATACATATACACAGTCTTCTTGCACATCCTACAAGGATTGATGACCTAGATTAGGTAAGCATTCCCATGGTGTTATATTATTGTGACTATTGTCAGTTTTACCATTATTCACTAACTCATATTTTCCAACTGCAATTCCATATACCAAATTATGTCGTGTTTAGCCTACATAATTTTAATGTGGTTGTATTAAAAACATGCATTTTCTCTTTGTGAATTAACTTTATCCCTCATAACATTCGCAAACTTTTATATCATGTAAGAAAATATCACCTCATCTTAACTTCATTTCGATCAATGAGTCAAATGAAATAATACTTGTAAATAAGCCAAATGCTGGAATGAAAATGTATAAAATTGAGACTGTAAAGACATTGAGAACGAAATTACCTACAAAATAGTATTTACTGAACTTTTCTTCTCCCTGAGGGCTATACCATCTTGAGTAAGCGGACCATATTGTTTCACAGCGCAATAACATAACTACTACAAGCATAGTAGAAGTACTTCAGATGCAACTGCAGTCGTACATAATAACATCGTCTCTAGTTTGGACAAAGGGGCTAAATTTGTTCGCTGTGCCTTCCAAGATTACACATCTGCTTTTGACTAAGTACCTAGGGATATTTTGTTAAATAAGCTTGCTGAAACTGAAGCTGAGTGTTGGGTTGTTAATTGGCTACATTCTTATTTCTCAGGAAGAAAGTAGCACACTGTATGTAAGGGGAAGTCGTCCACTTCATCGCTTCCTGAGGCTGACGTTCTCCAGGACTGTTCTTCCTCCTTTTCTGTTTTCGTTCTTCTTGCATGTCTTCCCTCACTCTGATGAAATGGACTTTGTTAAGTATGCGGACGATCTAACTGTTTCAATGGCTATTAACTCCCAGCTGGATTGTACTAAGATGGACATCTTTCTATCAGGAGTCGGCAAATGGTCTTTGTCTGGTGGTCTTAAATTAAATCCTTCCAAATATCAGACTGTTAGTTTCAGTTTCCAATGCAAAAGAAAGTTAAATGAAGCTATTAATTCCCATAACCGTTGAGAAACTGATGATATTGATATAGAAATCAAGTCTGACATTAAGTACCTTGGACTAATCCTTTCTTATGATCTATTCTGGTCTTCCAGCGTCTTAGCGATTTCTAAAATTATATTCATTTACATTAAGAAGTTAAGGCACTCAGGCACAACTCAACTCCTCCTCTTATAGTTTATCGACTGTTGCATCATGCCTATTCTTATTTATTGTTCACCCATATTCGTTCCTGTGTTACTTAAAAAAAACTATGCCATACTTCGTGGAACTCTGAAGACTGTCCGTAGAGTGAGTGGTATCCCATTGGGCCATATCGATGACATCGACATTGATTTCATACAACAAATTTGCTAAAGGGAATTTGTCAGACTGTGAGCATCCAATTTACCCGCTGCTTTCACCTTGTCTCTCCTCAGGTAGCACAAGAAGTCATTTCAAAAGACTTTATGCACGCACGTCTAAGTATAAGAATCTCATATTTGGCACGTATTTTATGTGATGAAAATTGTGTCAGGTACGAACTAACTAACCTTCTTACAACCAGTAAATAAGCAATCTTCTCCAGCCTTATAACATGAAGTTTACTGTTATTATTATTATAATCCTCTCATCTTTTTGTTTATTTTTTCATAAGTGTAGACATCACTTAGGCAGTGTAATAATTGTCATTGTTTTCTTTTCACCATGCTATTTCAAGAGAACATTAGATCCAATACTCGATATCATGCTAAAATTTCCGTGCCCACTGTTATTACCATTATTATTATTACTGTTATTTTGTTATTATTCTCATTTTACACTTTGCACATTATTGACTTTATTTCTACAGTGGAAGTTAAAAAATTCCTGTGGTTAATTTAATTTATATTCTGAGTAAATTAGATGCAATATTTTGACAAATGCTGAGAATTTCATTCTGTATTATAAATTCTGTTTTTGGAATAAAGCAGATTATCATTATTATTCTTACTAATCAAATCGGATTTATTCGGTTGATGGTTAATGTCTGTAAATATGACATATGCTATGCGCTGTTAGTCCAAATTACTCTTCCTGGATTGGCAAGATCCTGTGTTCGCATTCGGCTTTGCGTGGATTTTTAAGAAGCAGTCGAAACATTTGTTTATCTAAGTTACTGTGTGATTGGTAAGATTTCTAATCGTGACATACACCAGTGTCAGTTACCCGTAGGTCTGTGGTCTAATGCGTATGCGATCTTCCTCTACTCTTTTGAAGCATGGCCTCTCCAAGCTGAACATGTGCAGAGACCATATGTTTAGTCACCGCTACGTCTGCACAGTTGTGTACATCCAGTAACGACATCAAGTAATTCTGAAGTTCGACGACATAAGTGTGAACTAGGTAGGGTGGAGGTTGTGTTTCAATAAGTCACATTATCTTGGGACATTGAATTCAGCGACGTGAAGTATGCCCCTATGAAACCTTACTATTCTGTTGTATTTTCTCACCAATTTGATGTACGACTGCAACAATTATTTAAGAGCAAGAACAATCGTAAAGGAATTTGAATTCATTTTTACTTCCCAAATACTCTGCAACACGTTTATACAACACTTGGTTGTTTCTCTTCCATGTTTTTACCGGTTTAAAGAAATCTATATTATTTTGAGTTTAGCTTATTTTATTTTTCAAACTATTTACCAAACTCTGACAGGAGATTGATAACATGGCATATCGCTTTTTTGAATTGCAGGCACCTTTATCCAGTGGATAATAGTGTGTTTCAATAAATACGCCAAAACATACCAGCAAGATTCCATGGAAATAAAAAAAATATACGTTTAACTTTCGAAATTACTACATCCTTCGATCCATCACTTTGAGCAGACAGTATCCAGCAAGATTTTCAGATAAAAGTGTAGTAAATGTAACGCATTTCAAGAAAATAATGACATCGATGATATGTACGTCAGAAAAGATATTTTAACGCAAAAATCTAACTTGGCATTAAACCACTACAACAACAGACTAAGACGCTACAGTTAGCGGAGATATGCAATAAAGCGACTCAACTGCGAGTGGCCTTATATATATATACATATATATATATATATATATATATATAGAGAGAGAGAGAGAGACCGGGCTCCGATTCCCGGCTCGCGCACACCTTTCTACATTCCTTAGCCAGTTATAATCCGGACAAAGAGTGAAGGTTGGGTGTGGGGTTAGCAACCCCATCCCGTAAGAACATTACTACCACTGAAACTTCAAAGCTGAAGCTTGAAGCCCTGTGTTCTACTCGGAACGCAAAAGGAATTAAATAAAATAAAAAATATATTATTGTAGAACAGTTCAAGAGAACTGTCGGTGAACAGGCGAATTCTCGTTATTTCTGTTAGCATTTTTGTTCTTGTCCTATTCGAGTTTGTGAACGGGTAAAATTGCAGATGATGTGTAAGTGGGTTTTATGTTAACTTCATAACATTCATAGAAATAATAATTACGTCTCCCATTTCTCTTTCATTTCTTCATTTTATGAAAATTTGCTTGAACAGATAAAATAATAACAGTTGAATTATATTAACAGGAATAATAGCGAAAGTCATCTATTACTGTCGACTGATACATGTAGCGTACAAATCACTCACACATACACAGGAAACGAATACAAAATAAAACTTTGCGTAAATAAATAAACAAACAAAAAAGGCATAAATACATAGGTAAGAAATGCATTTGTTTAGGTAATAATGATGGTAGAAATATACACTCCAATGTGCATACAGTTATCCATTTAAATATCAATATACAATGAAGAAAGATCAAATGAATAAAATTGTAATATACAATATATGGTTGTCATATGAAAACTGCTACAGTTACTTATTATTAATGGATACTTTTGTTGTTGATTTAACCCTGTTCTTTAACTAACTCTTTCAATCGCATACTCAATTGATTTGAAAAACTATCACGAAATAATCGACTCCGTGCAGACAATAAGGCATAAATTGTTTCATAGTAATTTGTACAGCATTCTTCACTTGATAGACTGGAATAAGTGTTGTCCAATACTTGTGTGTTGATCTCATTATAGCTATTAATTTGTGCACAGAGAGGTGAGAAGAGGGCCACGGAATGCATAAATAGGCAGTAAAAAAAGGTTCATGTGGTGAGTAATGTATACAATGTTAAAAATAATTTTGTATTGTTTACTGACTCTATTCATCTTACTTGATTAGGACAGACTAACAATGAAAAGTTACAATTATAAACAAGTAATCAAAGAACTGAGAAATCTACGACCGCTTAACTATGATGAATAAAGTTGCTCGGTGTAAAGTTATATAGTTGAATGTAATTTAATGCGAAAACCTGTGAGTGACATAGCTCGTCAGGTCATCGCTCGAGTGGAACCCGATTGAGAAACGGATGATATGGAGGAAGAGATGAGGGTTTACGGGCAACCGTGGAGCCAGCTAAAGAGGAATGCAGATAACAAGATGAAATGAAGATGTGTTGCTGAGGCTCTATGTCCCTTTCGGAAGCCACGGGAAGATAATAACAGCGAATAATGTTTAAAATCAACGTTTTCAAAAGGATACATTGCATTATGTAAGTCAACTAGAAAATACAACGAAAAGGGATAACTGAATCTAAAAATACTCTTATTACATATATCCTATTGGAAACTAATGAGATTCTCGGGAAACTAATTCTTACTAGTTAAAATTAATCTACACATAGAGAACAACGGGAAATGTTCAGTTCTTCTGTACGAAAAAACCTGTGTGTACCAATCAAAATAGACGTGAAGTTTCACTGACATCAATCTCACCTAGTTCAGTAGTTTACTAACCAGTTTTATGCCCGTAAAGAGAGGAAAGTTTGGATGTGGGGCTAATGATTCTACCCCGGAAAATTAATTCAATCGGTAAAGAAATTTCAAGGCACAGAAAAATATTAAAAAATAGATTTTTTCTTCACCGAAATCAGGGAGGCAAAATGATGACTGATGAAAGCCTTCGAGAAGCCAGTCAGCCAGTGTCTTCTTTCGATGAAAGCAAAAATAAGCGTGTCAACATGAAATGTTTACACAATGTTAGAAGCTGGAAAGGATGCCCAGATTGGAGAATTTACACAATGCCACAAACAACGCTGACAAAGAGAAGGAGCTATACTGACAACAGTAATCAGTAATGGACAAGACCAACACCATATGATGACATCGAAATTGAAATGGATGATATGAATGCCAGTCAAACTGAGAATGGACAGTACAGGAAGAGAACTCATCATGAATGGAGAGGAGGTCAGAATGGAGAATTCTTTGTAGAATTCTGTGCATTTATTGGTTTGGTGATTAGAAACAGTATATATAAATACAAGGATATTCCCAAAGCGATATGGGTTTCAAAAGATTGACACATCGAGAGTCAGATAGACTTCACCCGAATCTCAACAAGTTGTAGATACAACCGACTGGATACAAAATGAAGAAGAGGAGTGACCGTAGGTTCAAACCACTACTTATTGCAAAGAACCTTCAGGATCAGGTTGAAAAGTTTCAAAGACGCTGGAGACCGATTATAATTTTAATAATAAGCTCAGTAACTAAAGAAGAAAGCTCCAAAGGAGACGTTCACTACAGTCATCAGGCAAAAGCTGGAGATACTAAGTAGCATCGCCAAAAAAACCTATGTGGAAGAATACCGGGATTCTCTGAAAGTGACATGGAATGAAACTTGTATAGCTGTCTTAGAAAGGAAGCAGATGCAAGACTAGGAATGGATCACTACAATGACATGATAGCTGACTGCGGAGGGAAAGATAGTGAGACGAAAGATGAACCAATACACAGATGGATAACGAAAGGAGAAACTGAATATAACCTACACAGTACTAGAGAAAAGAGGACTACCAGGAGAGACAAAAGACATCCTTACAACATATTGTAACTGAAGCACAACAGGCCTCAAGTAAAGGAGACTTCACAGCGCGATATCAAATAACCAGGTACTATCGGGCGTGAAGTAACATAGAGAAATGATAGAGTGGAAGAAACCTAACTACCGAAGAGGTAAGACAAAGGAATCACTGGACTGGTCGCTTCAAAAAACTCTTGGATCGTCTACCACCTGCAACCTGTTCAGAAATAAAATCAGCAGTCACAGAACTGTCCGTCAGTGAACACCAATCCTCCAGCGAAATCAGAAATCTTGAAGGCCATTAAGTTACTGAAACCCAGAAAAGAAGCAGAATCATATAGATATACTCACATCACCGATGAGGAATGTTTGAAAGGAAGGAAATGTGCCTGTCGATCAAAGAAGGGATACTTCGTCGTACACTTATGCCTTTGCAAAACCTGGAGAGGAATCATGTTTCTGTCTACCCCAAGCAAAATATTAAGACGGATAATACTGCAGAAACTAAAGGATGATAAAAAAACACGCTCAGAACGGGCTGGATTCCGGAAAATGAAATCATGTGCAGATCAAACTGCAATTCTATGCATCATCAAATCAGTTACATGCACACTAGTACCAATTAACAATAATATAAAATGTGAGACATGCAGTCTGTCTAGAGAATTGAAACCAAAACTGGTAAATGTAGTTTAATTCTCAGTAGCTCCAAAAACTAACTCCGTTACCAGATTTTCTGGAAGACTGTAAGTCCACATAATAGATGTTCCTCTGAAAAGAATTATTAACTTTATAAATTTTGCATATGAAGATTATTCAAAACAACTTCAATATGATATTCCTGCTAACGTTTAAAAACGTTGAGGAATTTAAAAGTAAATTGAAGAATAGTACTATCAAAGAAGGTGGAATGACGGCAAATTTTGATGTAATTGCTTTTCTTAAACTGACATTCTTATTTTTAATTCACTTTATATTAAGAAATAAGAACTTGAAGGTGACCAAAAAGAACTAGCTAGACGTTCATTATCAGTAGAAAATATTATTATATCTTTGTCCAAAATCTAGATACTTAACATTCCAAGAAACTATACTGTCAGACAAATGGGGTTATGGTGAGATCATCGGCACCTTCAATTTATCATGTTCTTAGTAACCTACCAAGAGGAGCTCAACTAAGTCCCGTATCAGTTGCTGGAGCGCTAGCGGTCAATACCATAAGGTCTAATTTCTGTATTCTGGAAAAATATTTCCAGCTGCTTCGTTTACCTTGACCCACAGTAAGGTCTACAAATCCTCTACAAACGTTTATAAATAACACTGATACACAAGTGTTGGTTTGCAGGTATTTTATTGATCACATGATTTCACCACGAGCTAACATTGGTTAGAGAACCACTGGAAAATCTGGAAGTACTGAATAGCTATTTCGTCCTACTTTGGGAGTCTTCGCAGTACACCCCCACCGATGTCATCTCATGATGAAGTCCTGTAACACTAATTCACCCCACTACGTTCTTCACGTTTCTCTTGTTTCATTGGAAAAACTTTTATTTCAGACCATTTACGATTTAATGACACTACTTATCATATCTATTACCCTAGGTTTATATAACACTTTCCACATTTGATATTCTATTAACACAATCCTTCCCTTTCGACTTCATTAAATTGTTCATTACTGATTAATCCTTCAATAACAGTGGGTCCGTCTTTACACAAGACCATTATTACTGTACTATTATTATTATTATTATTGTTATTTGTAACCCCTTGAGATTATATACACCGTACCCCATTTGTTTGTTCATTCCTCTGTAGCATTTATATTGTCTCTCACACCAGTGACCCCACACACTCTTCCCTAGAACATGTATTTTTTTGGAGTTTTTATTCACAAACAGAACACTAATTTTCTAAATTTCATTTTACTTCATGTTCGTATTGACTACACATTTTATGTGTACGACAACGGTAATCAAAACTAACTATCATTCAGCTAACACAATACAGTTTCTGATGTAATTATAATTTGTCTTCATTGGCTAGTGTATGCTAATATTAGTGGGTTTATAATTGTAAAGTCTAGGGATGAATTTAGTTAAATTAAGAAATACAGGCCCCACTGTGGTAGATTATCAAGAAAAGTTTCCTACTAGCTTTACCCATTGATCTGACATAAAATTATACGACGACATAGAATAGATGCTCAATGTTCAATGTCAGTATATTTGTACAGAGAATTAAATGGATCACGAAGTCCCTAAATATCAAAAGAATACCAGGAAGACTTAATGGTGAATGCACAGATATGACAAATTCTACTGCCGAAAGAAAAACAGGAAGTGGTTAAAAACTGCATACGGCTAAATGTACCTTTTAACATGATTTTTGCATCTACAACAGTAATTTTGTGAAAATAATGAAAAATGATTGATTTAAAAGAAGTATTGAAAGTTGTACAACTCTTTAGGGGATTATTGATTATATATAAATGCAAGTATACAAAGTGGTGTATTAACTCAAGACTCACGATGAACCGACAGATCTAAATCCTTTATCACTAACTTCAATACACATTTTTTCACCTTCCAGAGTAGTCACATTTAAATATGCCAAGGTGTTGGTGAATGGTAGGGGATCTGATGCTAAACGTATGTCTTTTACTCCAAAACTAACTTCAACTACAGCAGCTTCTGCCTCTGTGGTACACAGTTTTACATCTTCGTCACCAATATCATCACAATTTGAACACTCGATCGAATCTTCAAAGATTCTAGAAAATTTCAATCAGTTTAACATACCTGAAGTGCTTTGTGATGTAGGTGTCATTAAAGTAGTGCTTGAAGAAATTTCCTCTAAAATAAAGTAAGTAAAATTGAGCAAATATATATATATATATATATATATATATATATGTAAGCATATACGTTAGTCACTAGGAGGTGACTAATATCATGAGTGTAGTCTTTAGTGGTGGTGCTAACAGTCGGGTTTACAGTGTGTTCATCAGACTGAGTGACTTATCACTACGGTGCACTCTGAATCGATGTTAGATGGTTGGAGACAAACGGCAGGACTTTCTGTAGATCCCTCACTCTGAAAGACGTGTCACATCATTAATTTAGATTACTGTGAATCAGCACGAAATGAAGAAATAAGCTTAAAAACAAACTACGTCGACTATCAATTAAAGCAAGAATGCTCCATATACAAAGTCCACACTTCCTCATATGGTCGAACTCTCCTATATTATTTTAATTTTATTATAACTTGATTACACAGTGTTTTGGTACAAGTATGAACTTTTCAGTATGTGATACCGGTAGCCCAAATTCAGTAGGCCGACTATTGATATACGGTGGGCGTCAACCGGGGATCGGACCCCGGACCATGTGCATGGTCGGCGAGCGTCCTAACCACTGTGCCACTGAAGGAGCAAAATTTTATGCTCGAGTACAGCATGTCCCCAAGCCAACAAAGAAACCTATTATGAATTATTCAGAACATGAAGGAACTTCAGGATAAATTATAGCAAATTAACAGATGAATATGCTGCATTTTTCTACTCTCTGCTTATGCATTTACTGACTATAGATTCGATTACATAAAGGATAACTACCAACAACTGTCTGACTACTACAAGAAATCGGACATTCAGATATGATATGGTGATGTTCAAATGCAGAAGTAGGAGAACTGAGTCGGAATGAAAGGAACTGTAAGAACAAGGGGGGTGTGATGCTTACTGATGCCGTCTGCGAAATTCCTATTCATATGCTCACTGACCACAAATCAGAGTACAATGAATTTTATGATGAGTAATCCAGCTTGCTGGAAAAGCAAACCACCGCCTGCATTTTTATTCATGTAATCATTCTCCCTAGACAGCACTAATTTCAAAAGTAAAGAGAAACATTTTTTCATCGATAGACCGCTAGACACAAGCCAACGACAGATACGAATAGTTTGAGTAGCTGTAAGTTATGGTGGGGTGGGTCAACAGAAAATTCCTGCTCCGTTTAGAAGGTCCGTGTAAACTCGACTATGCATTAATCTGTGTGAACGTAGATGCGACTTATCGAACACAGGAACCAAGCGGTTTTGAAACGCTTACTTGCCAAGTTAATTAAATGAAAACGTAGAATTTATTAGAAGACAAACTTAGTGAATTATGGGCATCAAGAGATGTGTCACTTAAAAACTCAGTTTGTGCGAGAGCTGAGATACTGACCGGACGCCCAGATAGAAGCAGGTGGTTGTCTTACAGGATTATGATCGGACCTTTGATTTGAAGTATGATCTACAGAGCAGTGAATCAATTTCTCGGTGGTTGGCCGTGTCCCATTCCATATTGCACACAAAGGTAGAGGAAGGATTCAAAGGAAGTACACTCTACGAGAATTTACGGGAGAAATAATTGGATGGAAAATACGAATCTGACGGATGTACGAGTTGATAAAGAGTGAGCTGATTTGCAACATTCAGAACCATCTTAAGCCATATAACAAGTAATTGGTTTTTAACGTGTTCAGAATCCTAGTCAGGTACTTTACAATTTCACGAGGATCAAACTACCAAGCAAATATTTTTGGATTGATACCAGGTTTTGATTTGACGTGTCCTAGCCATCTCATGAACAATTCCAAGCCAGGCATGAGTCAAAAGAACAAGTAGTTCTGTTAAAAGACCCTTCTCGGCAAATTCATTTTCTTTGGCTGTACAATCGCATTTATATACTATTTTTTACGGAAAGTAGTAACTATGACGAGTTGTCATAGTTATAGTTTTTAATGTTAGTAAATGCATAGGACTTAAGTAAGTTTACTGCAGTTACATAGTAAGATGAATAATTTAATGAGTTGCAGTCAAAAGCACACAGAAACGAACGAAATATGCAATTACGTAAGGGTCCGGAAAAAAACAAATGTTACAAGTTGATAAACAAACAAACAAATTCAAGATAGTAGAGAACAAAAAGGTTGTTACTATGATAGTGAAGTGTTTGAAAAGAAAGGAAAGAAAATCACTTGACATAGGAGTCGGTTCAAACTAGTCCAGTAGCATCATCTCACTTTTCACAGGGCCAAATAGCATGCCGAAAATTCGAAAATTCCTGCTCAAGGTGTTTGGAAGGCTGCATTTTGTCATTTTCCTCACCCAGCAGGGGGCAATAGCAACTGTATATTTCATGTCAAGTCGACCCTAAAGCCATTAAAACCAACCAGGATAACAACCACTAGTACATCCATAACAAAATTTGAAAAATGGAGATATCGGTTTTACCTCAGAAACATCACTGATTAGTGTCACTTGAGCCTACAACACTGCTTAGGTTAACACACAGCTGCATGAGCTTGAGTAGAATTTCCTGCTTAGCATGATGCAATTTTTATGACGTGTCCTCGAACCTGTTGAAGTGCGAAGATATGATCAGGGTATCCCCTACAAGTCTGAAGACAGCTAAACATTTTTGGATGTATTCTCTGCAGAGCTATGAAACTTAGGATTTAGGTACTACAATCGTCAACCTGATCTCTATGATTGTCACATGAAGACTGTTGTCCCTGGTGACTCTAAACTACAGCAGCCCAGAAGGAAAATACCTTTAGCGACCAATCAGATTCGTAAGAAGCAGAAGTTCGAAATTTGAAATAGACGTCTGTATACAGGCAATACAATACTAAGAAATGGTTACATTTATATGATCCAAAATAACCTCCCAATTCCTCACAGGAGTCTCTATAGTTAGGTTAAACCGATTTCTGTACACAAATTCGTGAAGGTCATCGATCCGTTCATCAAGTAGTTTCAATTTGATTTGCTATAGTTTAGAGTCACTATTAGACGTTTATTTTTAATTCCGCACTTCCACTTCTGACGCGTCTGAGTGGTCGCTTGGGGTCTTAACTAGGTAGTTTCGTCTTAGTTACCCGTAGCTTACTTCCTTAAAATAATGGGCCACCTCCAGGTCCAATATCCAATGTCGTTTTACGAGCTGATATAAACCAATTTGATTTCTTTGTGCTCGTCTCTTGATTGTGAGGTATAAGTTCCTGATCTTCGGTAAACGTCTGTGTAGCTTGTCCCGCCACTCGACTGTCGTAGCTTTGGTTGACTCCACAATGAGTAGTGCAGGGATTAATTATATGTGGCTTGTAGTATGAGGTGTGTTACGACTGTTACTACTGTGAATGGAGTTGATCCTTTCACCAGTTAGTCCTCCGGTATCGTCGTCAAAATAAAAGAGATAATAATGATAGATATAATTAGTGAAGTTATTCAGAATAACAGGCAGAAAAAGAATAAGAAAACGTAACAACAGTCAGCTGATTAAATTTGAAGAATAATATGAATAATGCATATATATATACACCGGTAATAATGATAATAATAATAATAGGTGTAGTTAAAGCTGTCAGGAGAATAAGACGGGAGAGAATGTAAAGAAGAAAAACGACAAGTTTAATTGTCTACCCTTGAATGGTGTATGCGATTTTAAGGGGATAGGCCATTTGGATGCAGTCCTTGTGTCGTTGCATGATTGTCCAGCCTTCGCTTAAAGGCGTCCACAGACGGTGCCATAGCCACATCTGCCGGCAAGGAATTCCAGGGACGACAAACCCGCAGTGAGAAGAAGTGGGAGCGCACCTGGGTCCTTGCCCTCTGGTGAGCTATGCTTCTGGGATTTCCACGAGGGAGCCTATACCTACTCAATGGCAGAACACCTTTGTTTGGGTGATTCTGGTCATTTTTTATTTTGTAGGCAGTAATTAAATCCCCCGTAAGCTGACGGTAGCTAAGTGTGAATAGGCCTAATTTCTTCAGCCTTTCATCATATGGTTTATTTCGGAGACCAACCACTCCTTTTGTTGCCCGTCTTTGGACTCTTTCCAAGAGGTTGGCGTCTCTTCTAAGCAGTGGGGGTGCAATAATATTATGCACTTCAAGGTGTGGTCTGACGTATGTTTTGTACAACCTAAGAAAGAGCTCAGGAGTGAGTGTACCTAACTGTCTATGTGTAAAGTGTATGACCGCATATGCCCTCGCTACATCCCTCGTGTAATTTACGCTTGTGTCCATTTTCTCCGTTAGAACTAGACCTAAGTCACGTTCCGACATTGTGCAGGACAAGCACAGGGTGTAACTTGCATTCTGCAGTCTACAGGTGCGTATGACAAAAGATTACTTAGACTTCTCAGGATTGTGATACCGATGGTGTGGGTCTCATCGTTGAGGCATCAGTTATTTCAGCCTAACACTTTATACTACAATAATGCATCACAATAATCCTGGCATTATTTCCGCGTGACTTGCTGACTATGTGAAGCTATATCGTCCTGTTAGATTGCTCAGGAACTAACACCTGAGCCACTTTCGACGGTCGCTGATGTGCAATCAGCTTGTATTTCTCAGGAAAATTTATCCGAGTTATTCAAAAATGCCCATGAGAAATTCCAAAGGACTGACTTTCGAACAAAGGATATCCTTTTCGATAACTTTCTCACTAGGTTCTGTAGTTATATATCCGTAATAATGGGAGGATAATGGTTACTAATAACACTGATGTCTAAATAACATCGAATCAGTGATACCAATAGATTGCAGTTCAGTAGCATTTGTAAGCGTGATATTATGCATAAACATAACACTACACTGAATGTCAGACAAATAATACAGAACTCACGAATATATAGGCTGTACAAAGGCCAGGGCTTTAGTAGTGGGTGGAACTGTTTCGACTACTAACTGAGCAGCGGTTGCTATATGCGGATCATATTAGCCTCTGCTATTTAGAGTATGTGGAACCTGGATGTTTTCGGCAATTCATTTGGTGCCCGGTAGATGATAGGGAAGGATTATTCAATGTTGGCCTAGTGGCCGGTTTGGACCAGATGGTCTAATATCGAACTGTTGATGGATTTTACTACACCTTTGCTTTACTGGGAGATGTTCTCGAGCACCGTCGGTGGCACAGTGGTTAGGACGCTCGCCGACCATGCGCATTGTCTGGGGTTCGATCCCCGGCCGACGCACACCCGATATCAATAGTCGGCCTGCTGAATTTGGGCTACCGATATCACATGCTGAAAATTCCATACTTGTATCAAAAATACTGTATGGAGTCAAGCTATAAAAATATTAAAAATATATATATAAAAATCAAGTTCCTAGAGCAACAGCCAATATGTTGCGTCTCTCCGTTCGGGCCAGTGTTTTCTTATTTATGAAGAGGTACGGTTTCCAATATTATGAGCTGGCACTTAATCAAAGTGTACCTCAGTGTTCCACGTTTTCAAATTTCGTTAGCGTATAGAAGAGTCAGGCAGCTTATACAGCATGGTAGGTCATTGTTAGAATTCAAAACATCAGTGGTCCTAAGATAGAACCCTGCGATACTCCAGATGATGAGCCGTGACATGATAGGACTCGATTGACCTTAGCGCAAAATTGCCTTTCAGCTAGGTAGTCCTTTAACCATGACAGAAGTGGCTTACCTATACCTGTCTGGCTTATTTTGTGTAGGAGAAGGTTATGGTGTCAAATGCCTTCTCCAAGTCTAGGAAGACCACATGGACTGGAACATTCATATCCCAGCATGATGTCCAATCGTCCCAGGTTGATAGTAGGTTTGTTACATAGGATCTGCCTTTCCTGAAACCGAGTTGGGCTTAATGGAGTATATTAGACCTATCGAGGTATTCCCTGATGTGATCGTCAATAATACTTTCCAGTACTTTTGATACCACTGGGAGTAGAGTTACTGGACTATAACTAGTGGCATTTTGCCTATCCCCACCCTTGAAGATCGGAGAAAGGATGCTTCTTTTCCATTCCCTTGGCAGTTTCCTCGAATCCATTGAGTGTTGCAACAAGTCGCATAAGGACCTACAGAGAGCTTCAGCGCACTGTTTCAGAATGGATGGCCTGATGTCGTCACAACCTGGGGACTTTCCGGGTGTGAGTTTCTGCAGCTTCCTCAGTATTGTTGCCCGGTTTATCTGGGGAGTAGCCACTAGGTTTCCCCCAAGTGAAACAGTAGTGCCACCATTTTGGTCCGTACCAGTAATATCCACATTGCTGTTTAGCCGTTCGGCGAAGGCTAAGCTGAATGTTTCAGCCATCTCCAGACTAGTGAGATATTGATCGTTTGGGCCTTCTAAGGAGCATGTCCCCTGGTTGGTTGGTTTTCTCTCCGACATGAATCGGTACAGGCTCTTGGGGTTCACCACGAAATTTTTGGAAAGGGTAGCCTGAAATGACCTCCCGTCACTCCTGATTCTCACGCTGCACCGGTTCCCAAGTTCCAGGTATGCATTATGGTCGATCTTAGTCTTGGATATTCGCCACGCAGACCAAGCCTTCCACTTTGCTTGTAGAGTACGTTACGTACATCTTTTCAGCCTTGAGGACCTATTTTTCGGCTGTGTTGTGGCCAAAGGGACGGGAACCTAGATTGCTGTATGAATAATCTCTTTAACCACTTCCCAGTGTTCATCCACAGATAACTCATCCTATGCTAAGGGCCAATCTGCGTCGAACAAAAGCCACCACATTTCAGCATAGTCAGCCTTGCTATGACACAGACATGATCGCGTAACCTCCCAATGCAAGTGCTCATGAAGAACAGGACCGAAACCTATGACTGCATGGTCACTTCCTAGAGGAGTCATGATCTGAAACTTTTCAAAGAGTGGTTGGTCACTAGTTAAGATATAATCTAGTTTCGATGACTTTCCAATAAGGCCCCGTCTGGCGTCATATCCAACATTCTCAGTCAGCCTTGTATTTCGAATGGTTTGCAGTAGATTTCGGCTGAATTTTCCCTTAGCATACCCCGAGCCTAGGTTCAGTGATGAGGCATTGAAATCTCCAGTTGTGGTGATTTGGTCATAGCCCACGTCCCGTGTCCCTGTGATGGTGCTGAGTAGTAGCTGGTTGTGCTCTGCCCCACGGGTGGGTGCCTGGTAGATACCACCCAATAAAGGTACCAATGATTTTTTATCCAACACATCCCTGTCGGCGCTAATCAAACAGATGGTGGGGATCTTTACCCTTCTAATGTCGGCGCCCTATCGGGAAGAAAACAGACATGGGCTAGTACACACGGAACTATTAATCACACCCAATGACTGTACAAGCATAGGCCAAATAAAATCTACGGCCCAAATCTCCAACCTACCCAAGCCTAGAACTACGTCATCGTATAGTTTATCTAATAATTAAACCCAATACTCACTAAAAAAGATGGATAGTAACTCGACAGACATAGGTGAACATGGTGCCCAAACTAGTTGCAACGCAGGGTTGTTATGCCACGCGGAAACAGTGGATGCCGATCCACACTTAAACCTTATTGACGAGCTTAAACACTTCAAACACTGCTTCAAATCTCAACTCTACTTAATGCTTATTAATGCTAGATCTATCCTTAACAAACAACCGATGCTCAGGGCACACACGCTGGTATACAAATCCCCAATAATTATTATTACCGAATCCTGGTGTCACTCCAATAAACCAGACGAAGAGATAAGCATCGATGGGTACATACACTTTCGCTACACTACTAGTAAGATGTATCTACAGAACACCTGGCACCTTCGGTGATTACGAGATACAACTTACAAATGTACTGGAGCAAGTATCCACTCTTCCATACGAGCATAAGATCATATGTGGAGACTTCAACCTACCCGAAATCAACTGGGATTTGTTAATAGGGCCAATTAAATGTGACAAGCTCTTAGGCACAATGGACATTTTCGGCTGGAAACAAACTGTCACTATCTCTACAAGACGTGACAACGTACTTGACTTAATATTCTGTCACGATATAAGTCCCCTCTCAATCTTAGTGGGTTCTAAGTTTTCAGGTAGTGACCACAAAACAGTGATGTGCGCTCTGCCACTTCCACTGAGTAGCAATGCAGCTCATACCTCCACTTCACAACAAGTAATATATAGGAACTATAGTAAGGCGA